GTTAGGATAGTAGGCATCGTTGCAACTTCTTTTTTGTCTTCAATTCCCCAACTTATAATGGGCAGTTTGCCCCTCTCCCATCAGTCGGCATTTCTGCCACACCATTTCAAGACGCAAAACACATCATCGTTTTGCTTAGCCCCACAGCAACTCCAAGCTTGTGCTGGTTTAATTAAAAAACAGAGCAGCAGCAGCAGAGCAGGGTTGGGGTGGGAGTGCCTGGAGGTGTGGAGTGCTCAGGGCAGAAAGCTCAGCCTGCCTCCCCCCTCCTGCCTGCCACAAGAGATCCCTATGGGAATTGGGAGTGGCATTGAGATCTGCCACGTGCCTCTGGGAGCTGTGTGGTGCCTGAAACACCCTGGTTATAGGGAACTGTCCTACCTTTGAAGGGCTTTGTTTTCCAGTATTGTGGCAAGTCCCTTTTCTGTCTTAAACATTTTGCCAGAGTGGATAGGTGACAAAGCTGTGAATTTCTCTTCCATGTCATGCACTCATAGGATTTAAAATCCTCGTTCTGCCTTTCATCTTGTGAACTGTTTTTTGCAGATATTTCCTAACTTCTCCCATGACGTTTTAGCCTGTTTCTTCAGAAGATTGTATGGGCTGAAAGAGACTATTGTTTCTGCAAGAGTGCAAGCATGTGCACATTTGCTGATCTGGTTGGTACAGGATTTTGAGAGTGGGTGTTTGACTGAGGAATAGGATTTGGACGTGTGTGCATACGAATTCTTGCTTGCAGCGTGCTCTCTTATTTCATAAATAAGATCACATTTCACTTTCTAGGTTCCTCGCTTGTGTTGCTCCAAAAGCTGAACTTCGATATCATGAGACGTAAACAAGGAAATGGCATACAGTGAGATTACAGTAACTTCACTTAGCAGAGATTTGCAGACTGTTTTGTTTTTCAGCTCTGTTCCTGGATAGGTATCAACTACCACTTGTGTGGAGACTGAGCACAATTACTGTTCACAAATATCACAGGTTTGAAGTGAATACTTTGTGCTTCCTTTCTTGTTCCAGTGTCTGGGTTTTCAGTTTTGAAGCACAGACTAACACGTACTTCTCAGCATGGCATTTAGCAGGTAGGCTTTGGCAGTGGAGTTGTGCTTGCCAGCTCTTGAGACACCGCAACCCAAGCATTGCATTTGGAACAAACTCTTATTGCATGGTGTAAACTACTTTGCAAAATGTTTTTCAGTTGAGTGGTATCAATGGGGAACAAAGAAACTGCTGGGGGTTGTTTTTGTTTCACACCCTGGATCTTGTCAGATGCAACCTTGCCCTAGATTTGCTTCCACTTTTGGGAACATTACCTAGAGGATGGCACTGGGATAACTCCAGCTTCCTCGTCTATCCTGATGACACACATTTCTGCCAGCCATGAAGTGACATCTATAGACATGGAGGGAGAGCTGGTCTGCAGCCATCTGACAATACACCACATCCCTTAGGGAGACAGATTTTTTACACAAGCGGATAGTAATAGGACAAAGGGAAATTTGTCCTATTTTAGACTAAGAGAGGTTTAGATTAGATGTTGGAGGAAATTCTTTACTCAGAGGGTGGTATAGGCTGCCCAGAGAAGCTGTGGACACCTCATCCCTGGAGGCACTGAAGGCCAGGCTGGATGGGGCCCTGGGCAGCCTGAGCTGGCGAATGGCAGCCCTGCCCATGGCAAAGGGATTGGAACTGGATGGGCTTTAAAGTCCCTTACAATTCAAGCCATTCTACGATGATTCTATGATTCCCATTTTCATATGGTTTCCCTACTTCCTCAGGAGCAGTTGCTCTTGGGGAATGACTCCTTGGTAGTAGAGGGTGAAGGCTGGGACTTGTTGGTAATATAAGAGTTGATGAGGATTGATCTTGTGGTTTGCTGATGGATTTTGTTCCACTGAAAAACTTGTTGATGGATGGATGCTCAGGAATTACTGGGTGTTGACAAAAGCAGTTGACAACAGCCAGTTCTGGTACAAGTATGGGGAAGAGTTTCTAGCCTCACCCAATGCCACTTGCGATTTTAGCAACTCTGGACTGAAATGCTGTTTCAGCTGTCCATGAGGGGCTTTTTCAGTGCTTCTGTGTGGTAATAGCCTACTCATGTGCCTGGCAGCACAGACCACCTTACTCCTTGCCCAGGTTATGTTACTTAAATTGTACCTCCTTTGCAGAAGCTCAAGGGCACAATGCAGAACATGGGAGCTGCCTTTTCCTATCTGACATTCCTTTTGTTTGGGAGTGAGTGAGCCCTTGCTACTGCAGCCAGGAACATCTCAGGCACAGTTTTGCTGTCAATTTCTATTCTGCGCTCCTGAGGATTGCATGTAGGGCAGTTTAGAAGGCTCCTAGCAGTGCAGCTCCCTATTTACAGTCGGCAAGTTCATTAGAGCCCTAAATTATTTACCTTATAGAATTCAAGCCCTGAATTATTTACCTTTAAGAACAGTCTTTCTGCATCACGCATTGGGTTGACCATAAAGCTGCACTCTGCTATGGGTTGTGAGTGTCTAAGCATAATATTAAGAGCCATTCCAACATTTTACTACTAATTTTATTTTCATACACAATGAGATGAAAATATTACAAGTGAGGTCACAGTGTGAATCATCAAGATGTAAAAATAATTTATGCAGCCCTGCTCCAAGACTGGAAATTGCACGGGTAGTTGGTGGATCCGTGATTGTGCTGCTCTTTCAGCAAGAGCCTGCTGAGCTCCCAGTGTCATGCACTCCTCCTGCTGCTCCGTGCTTGGCCCTAGGATTTATTTATTGCACACCACTCAAGCCCTACTAAAAAAGTTTGTAATTTCCTCACCGTCTTTTCCGTTCATCGCTGTCACGCTTGAGAGTTTGATAAATGGTTTGGGAAGCGCTACCATTTTTTTACAGGAAGAGAGCTAAAATTAAGGACAAAGGATCGTGAGGATATCACAGCCTTGCCATGGAGATGTCTCAGTATCACGTAATATTTCATGTAATGGAAATGCAGCTCCTTTTTGCATTTGCTGTGAGCAGTCATGCGTTTTGCTTGAGAGAAGCCAGGGTTTCAGGATAGGTAAGAACTTGCCATTAGTGACTGCTTGGGAAAAGCTGGACTGAGAGACTTGTGTGCCCTACCCTGTGGCAGCCCTCCAGGGCTCAGCTGGCCTGCTCCAATGACTGTAGAAATAGTGAGGAGCCACATTGTGTCTGCATCTTCACTGCCAGCAAATGTCGGTGCTTTCCTGTGCTTTCCTCCTGTGGCACTGGCGTGCAGCTCAAATATGTCCAGTGCACTGAGTGTGGCAGGGGATGCATTAGGGGGAGTGCAGCTGCTGTCTGCGGTGCTTCTTCCAGCACCTCCCCTTGTCAGTGTTCTTTCTTACAGCCTACCTTTGCTACACTGAATTAAAAATATAGGAAGCAAATAAAAATGGTAAATGGCATCAACTGGCATTATATCAACTCCAAGAAGGTTCACAGCCACTGCACGACCTGCAGCCCTTTGTGCAGCTTGTCACTTTCTGCCCATCTGACTTCTGATTTCCCATCCATGTGCAGTGAAGTTTCTAGCTCTAGTATATTTTCTGCTCTCCCCCTTGGCCCAGCTTTGGTTGTATTGCATTCAGTTGGTGGCTCCATGCTGCTGGGGCTGTTGCCTGGCACGGGCATGGGGTTAGACAAGTCCTTGCTCAGGAAGCTACAAATCTTTTCACACTTGCTTGGTAAAGAATATTTTTGATGTTTTTATTATTATTATTATTAGTTTTGTTTTGTGTTTGTTTGTTTGTTTGTTTTTGAAAGCTTGCAAGTTGAGCAGATTTAGGTAGGTTTTTGTCATGGACAGCAAGGTTCATTTTCTACAGAAAAGTCAGTTCTCAGTGCAAGTCCCCCATTGAAAATCTCTGGGTTGCCAGAACATGTTGAGCTTTTTCAGGCACTTTGTTCTTTATGAAATGAGTCAGTCAGACTGTTGTGACCAAAACCTTGTAACAAAGCTCTCTCTGGCAGACACTCATGTTGGCCATGGACAGAGTGTGCTGAACAACTGAGCACCGGTATGGCAGGAAGGGTGTCACAGCCATATCTCCCTGTGCTGTGGGATTGCCTGTACTTTGCCCATGTGGAGGTGAGCAAGGGGTCACGTGCAGGTGGCTGAGTTGCATCTTCTGGTGTGAATGTTTTTGTTTTGTTTGCTTTCAGAGAAAGCAATGAAATATTGACTTTAATGGCATTTTCAGGACTGAATATCCAGTCCTAATTTTTCTTCACTTATGATGTGTCTTCAGGCAATTCAGAGAGGCTAGTGGTTTTCTTAATGAAGCTGTATCTTCAGTTGGCTTTCTACCATACTAGCTTTTTTCTTTCTTATTTAAGTGTGGAAGTTTCTCATATGAAGTGTCCATTATGGTTCATCAGAAGAGTTTGACACTGAAGTGTGAAACAAGTAATGTGTGAAGTGAGAACTGAGCACAGGCACAAAAAGACCCTGTTGAGAATTTTAAGCGAAATCACCGCCTAAATAATGTTGTATGAGCCAAGTTCAGGGAAACTGTACGATTAAGTAATTTACTGTTGATGTAATTTTACAAGTATTATTTTTACATTGCTACTATGGTTATTAGTGGCGTGTATTTACTAATGAAACTGAAAGAAGCATAAAAGATACTCCCTCTTCCCTTGTGTGCCTGCTTTTGGTAGCACTGAGCGCCTGCTGGGCTTTGGTTCCTGTGCTGCCTTCCCTGGGGGGGTGGATGCAGGACTTGGGCTCAGGGAGCTGAGTTCTCGCACAGCTCTGCAAGCAAGGTGCTGTCCCTGTTAGGCTGCTGTCTCCTCTGGTTGGTCAGTAAGCAATTTTGTCAAAAGGACTTTTTCTTGTTTAATATTTTCGTGACACTTAGTAGGAAAAAAAAAAAAAAAAAAGTCTAAAATATCAGCTGGGAATTCTACCTGCTGTAATACAAATAATAGATAATCTCATCCAGTTAATAAGTTTTCTCTTTTGTGTTGGTTTTCACACAGAGCGATGAGGCAAGAGAGAAGTTTTTAAAAACAGAAAAATGTGATTGCAGAAACATCACTGTTGGCAGGAGGACTTGGTGGATTCAGGTAATAATGTGACACTGCTCTTTTATTATGCTTTAAAATTGTCTAGATTTCAGGTTGACAGTGGCCCTTTGTCAGGAGCTGAGTGGCAGAGGGAGGTGACAAGGTATAATAAGAGCCCGTGGCTGGCTGCTAAATTAATTCAGACCCAGCAAGAGAGTGTAAGTTCTGCCAGCAGGGTAGTTTCTGAATGGGACACTGTTGCTGGGGCTGAGACATTTTTCGTTATCTCAGGCTGTTAAAACTGAAGTTGTTCTTTTGTGTGTGTGTGTTGTTGTCATTCTTAGGCTAAGAGTCAGGCTTAATTCAGCCTCTTAGAACTTCATTAATGTACAAAGAAAACTCCAGGCCTAGGGAAGAAGGTCAAATGATCAGCTGTCCCTTCAGACTATGGAATGCTGAATCTGTGACTGTTTTCCTTGAATTCTCCATTTTAAAAGATTTCTGGCTCAGAACAGATTGTTATCTGCTAAAATACCCCTACCTGTGTCTTTGCTGTAGCGGAGTAACTCGGGGTGTTTTGTATGAATGAAGACAGTTTCTTCTTGCAGAATGGTAGCAATTGTAATATGCAGTATTTAAGAATGCTACCAGTATGTTGGCAAAGTTACCTTAAAATATCATCTTTAATATATTCAGACCCTACTTGTTAAGAAATGTGAGTTGTTAGCTAAAATGCATCTCTTATGTTTTTAATCATTCTAATTATTTTCCTAACTGAGGCAGAGATGGCTGGAAGGGGGACATTTGGGGTGCTAATTGCAGTGCATTTTAAGTGGAGCCAGATCCTGACCTCACATTTCTTAGGCAGTCCTGGTGAAGCCATCAGGCTTTTCTGGAACATAAGGGTTTTCCCCGTGTCTATTTGATTTCAGGATAATGGCTTACAGTGGCTTTTTCACACACTTAATTCTCACATGCATGAGAAAGTAGAAGAGCATGTATCCTTGTCAGTGTAGACTTTGGCTTTTCAGCACAGATTTTTTTTGAGGAGCAGATCGGCAGAGCTGGTTGCCTTAGACTGAGCTGTTTCTAACTGGAGATTCCTTTGCATTTTCTTTGTTAGATGCTAGGCGGGAAAAAAAAAAAAAAATGCAATTGCAGCTTTGCATTTCTGTATTCATGCCCGAGAAGGATATTTAAATAGTATGTGAATGGGTGTGGATTTAGTATTTCCTCCAGCCAGCTTCTTTTTAATGTTAAATTGCATCCTCTGGAAAGATAGTTGCTGTATCAACATCAGCATAATGACATTTTATTAAAAAATCAATATCCAGCCATAGGAATGTGTCTTGGTGTAAACAGTTGTGTGCTTTCGGCTGTGATGTGTATATGTTTGCAAATGTAATGGACTTGGTAACTTGGATAAACACTGTATGTGTGACTCATTGTGGAGTATGAGCTTACTTAAAGCAGCAAGTGTGGGATTTGTTGAATATTGTGTTGCTTGCATCCCTGCATACTTACATTAGGTCATGATTAATCTCAAATTGGCCAACAACCTGGGAGGAGAATTACTGCTGATCTCCCATAGGTGACTCCAGAAATAAACATAAGGATGGAAGTGCTGTAAAAAACATAAATAGTAGTTAGAATTCATAGAATCATAAAGTAAACATATGGTACAAAATCCTCTAAAATATAATGCTTGAAAGCTTTTTTTATACTTTCAGAAAAGGTTTGTTTAGCTATCACAGGGAAAGTAAATATTTTCATTCCTTTTCTTCCAGTTCTCTCTCATTCCATTCCTCTTTCTTCTTTACTTTTCTTTAGTTTTGGGCAGGGGCACCAAAACCAGGCATGCTTAGAAAGCTCCATTTGGGGTACTTTGCTAATTACCCTTCTCTTGGTGGAGTCTCATGGTGTTTGTGCAATGTCAGGACAGAGTTGGTGCCAGCGGACACGATGGCTGCTGCAGCAGCCCCAGGGTCTGTCAGGGCAATGTCCATTTTGTAGCACAACACATCAAGACTTGACACTGGGCAATGCGATCCCAGCATGTGCTCTAGATGCACAGGGGGCTGCATGCTGTGGCATCCCCAATCTTTGGACATGCTTTTAGGGTGACATTTCAAGTGCCAATAGCAGGGTGGCGTGTCGGGAAGAGAGGCTGATGCTGTGAGGGGTGAAGGAGGAAGGTGGGGAGCAGGGGGCTGGGCAGGGAGGGCAGCAGGAGAGGGGATGCCGGGAGGAACATTCAGCTCTGGGGGGAAATGCTATGTGCTTTGCAGTTGCCTGTGTGGATAGAAACCAGATGGTGTGCTGGAACACCCGCTCACTCGGGTGACGGTGGAGCCAAACATATGGTTAATGGTTAGGAGGAATAGCTCGCAGAGCCAGGGCTTTGCTGACTGCCTCGCATTACAGATTGCTACAGTGTGTCATTACATTGCCAAACTAAGTGCTTAATACTCAGTGCAGCACTGGGCACACATGGGTGCTGATGACTTTCCACGCAGAGCTGGCGCAGCCGGGAGGCTGACATCACGCGCGACTCCACGCATCCCCCACCACATCCTCTAGACCCTACTCACCGTGGAAGTGCCGTAAATCTGGGGTTTTACAAGCCCCAAACCTACAGCAGGCAGCTTTCCTGTTCTGCGTGCGTGCCTTTAATCCAGTTATTTCCAGCAGCGTACGGTTAGGTTTTGCTTTTCTCCCCACAGCGTCCAAGTTCACCTCGTCTGTGGCCCTGCGCTTACATGCCCGGCATTTGAAGTTCCTGCGCCGGGAGCTTTGGGCAACACCAGGCCCATGTTATCTAAGGAACTGCTGAGCTCATTCATCTCCTTTTCACGGCCCGCTTCCTTTTATTTTTAGCCAAATCCGTCAGGCCTGACAGGCGGGTAATTTGAGCCAGAGAAAGGGCAAAGCTCCAGGTCCTTTCCACAAAGCAATTCTCCTCCCTCCTGGGAAGGCTCCAAACTCGGCCTGCTCCAGGCAGATGGATTTGTTGAGTCATGTGAGATCATTTACACAAAAACACAGTGAGGCGGTGAAGAAAGGAAAAAAAAAAAAAAAAAAAAGGGAAAGAAAAAGAAAACGCAGGGGGAAGGGGTGGGGGAGCGTGTGCTGCTGTTGGTTGGGCTGCAAGGGTAGGAAATGTGCTGCGCGGCAGCGAGACGGAGGAATGCAGCGGATTCATTCTTGTATAAGGTAATGTCTAGTTTACAGTGCAGGGTGGAGCCAGCGTGGAGAAATCACTCGAAAACAGATTACTCATTTAAAACTAAAATTTCTCTTCGAAATAGAACAACCAAGACCCAAAACAACCAGCAAGCTGCGCACGCACACAACAAAGGGCATGCTGTTGACAGTGCTGGTTTCTAGGAGCGAGGAGCTCCTAGCCAGGGCTGCTGGAAAGCAGCTTGCCCCAGTACTGCAGGAATGGCTTTGCCAGGGCCAGCGAGTCCTGTAACAGCAATGTTGTGTGCCCACTGGGGATGGTTTGGGGTGCTGGGAGGAACAATTTAGTGCCCATGATGAGCAAGCTGCTGGCCACAGCGGGGCCACAGTGGGGCCATGCTTTCCTTGTGGAACAATCTGCGCCACAGTGGGGAGTGAACTGCGTTTGGGCATGGGGATTGAAGGCTGATTGTGTTACCATTTGCAGCCTAAACTAACCCTGGCGTGTTTGGGATTGTTTTGTTTATTTGAGTGGGTGGTAAGGGAGAACATCCAGCTTGGGGTTGTTTAGATCTTCGTGCATCCCCGAGAGAATTAGATTGGGTTAATTTTGCCATTTTGTAATGATATGTATTCAAACCTTAAATAGACATGGACTGTATTTAAATATTCTTAATATGATTTCCAGTTACTCTAGATTTTCTAACATGGCAATATTGAATGTCAGTGTGTCATTCTGATGATGACTGAGAGCTGGAGCAGAAACTGCAATTGGAAATTAGTGGAGCGCATACACAATAAAGCAAGTTCAATGCAAAGTATTTTCTTTAATTCTTTGCTGTACTTAAGGAACTCGTGTATGTGCGAATGCAGGTTTGCATTTTAACTTGACTCTCTCGCAAAAAAACAGCATCTTCTGCAGGCTCCACAGGGCAGTGTCCAGTCAAAGTTCTGTCGTTCTGGGAGGGGAGTGTTTGCTTGCAGCCTGCCCCACTCTGCTTGGCCTTGTCTTCCTTTTTTCTTCTCCCACTTCTTTTTTTTTCATGCTTTCATCTGAAAGGCCACTGGATTTCACGGCTTGCTCACTGCGCCGCGCTGTGCTATTGAGCATGTTTGGCATGGAGAAAGACTTCTCAGCTAGACCAGCTTTCTGCTTAAGAGTTTTCTCACTAGGAGGAAAGCCTTTGTCCCCCATCTCTTTATCAGCCCCCCTCATTAATTGTGGAGAAGGAGCACTTGGCAGCACCCCGAGTCCCGGCTGGGTCCTACATTGGCCACTGCACAAACTCACAGCAGGGTCTTTGCCCGTCAGCTCAAGCTGAGGTTCTGGAGTGAGGAGTGAGAAGCAGCAAGGGATGAGAGTGTAAAGAGGATGTATGTGGCCAAACTGGAGACCAGGGCCATGTGTTAAAGGGTGACCACGTAACTAGAAATCACTACTGTAGGTTGCACTGAAATTTTCCAAGAAGTTACAGAAAAGGACAGTGTTGCTATTTATCCTTTTTGCATAGTTGCTGAAATGTTCTTTCTCCCCACATCCCCAAATATCTTGTTATCCTGCATTTTCTCTTGCTGTGAGCAACATTTCTCATAGTTTACACAGAGCTGCAATTCATGTTAAAATCTCACTTTATAAAGTCAACCTCCCATCATTGACTGTGGGATTTCCACCAGGAAAGAAGTTTGTGAGAAGACAAAGTTTTTTTTTTTTTAAGATTTTGTCTGAGTGAACAACTTCTGTGTAATTCCTCTATTAACTTTTCGGGTCCATAGCTTCATCACTGTTTATTGCACTTGGAAGACTTGTAATTTTACTTAATACCCTACACCCTAATATCTCCTTTCTCTCCCCTTAAGTTGCCACATTCATTGTTTTC